TATTTTTTTTTTTTTTTTTTTTTTTATATTATTTTTTTTTTTCTCTCCTTCTCTTTTTCTATGTTATCAATCTTTAGATAGGTTATACAATTATGTAGAAATAGCATAAAGACTACGAATGAATTGAGGGGGTTGAGTCGAAAGTTGACAAATCCGTCGGGGGTATTTTGGACATTTTATTTCTAAAAATTAACATCCTAGGACATGCTAAATCAATAACTTTGGAATATATGCTAAATATTTCAAGGAATAATTGAAGAAGTTATCTTTAGGGTTAAATTTGTGTAAATGGATATGTAACTCGTTATTTTATTTTATTTTATTTATTTATTTATTTATTTTTATTTCAGTTTTTAACTTTTAAAAAATTGATAATACTTTATTTTTGATAGACCTTTTTTGTACAACAATTGACATAAATAATAATTGGAAAAAATATTTTCTACCGTTTTTTTTCTTTTTATGTATTTCCTTTTTTTAACATTTTCTATTATAATAATTTGAATTTACTTGTTTTATGAACTATTTTTATAACATTGAAATGAATAAAAAGTCTGTTTATCGAGAATTAATGAGCTATAAACTTTAAAAATTTAAAATTAAAATGTTAAAAAAGGTTGAGGACCTACTTTATCCAATGCTTATTAGTCTAGGACCTTTATCTTATATTTTCTCCTTTATTTGAATAATATTAGGAAAATTAAGAGTATGGTCGGATATCCGTTTTTAAGTGTTTACAAATACCTTGATCAAAAAATACTTTTGTTCAATATTAACACATTTTGTAGGATGTACAAATATTATTACTTCTACACCACTCATTTGCTCTTGTTTACGAGCCCTTGTTTGACCTCGTTATTTAAAAACTCTTTCTGTTTTTTTCCTTCCTAAACTCATTTTCAATCACCATTTTTTAATAAAATAATTTTACACGTAAATTCAAATTTTTTTCTACTTTTTAATCATGTATATTCTCCAAAAAAATTGCTATTATAAAATTTATTCTTAAAAAAGTAGGGCAAACAGAGCCTAAATATCATTGTTTATAAACACATTGATAGACATATTCTAAATGTGTGTTTGGGAAGACTCTTTAAAGCATAAAAGCTATATTTGGATAGCAAAAGCATTTTGCTTGAAGATGGAGATAAGTGGTTGTCGTCAAACAAGTATTTATTTATAAAAATAACTATTTAAACCGCTTAAAGCAACTATGTATTGATCTTATACTAAAGCTAAATGCTCATCTATTGCCTCTTTATTATTTACAAGATAGTTTAGAATAAATACATGTTGAATTTTTAACGAATACATGTAACTATTTACAAGGGCGGATCCAAATTTATAGTTCAATGGGGGCGAGATAGAAAATAGGCTAAAATAAATTGTGAAAGAAATGAAAAAATCTGAAAATTTATATTTAAAAAAGTCCAATCGAAGGTTTCTTGAAATTGAGTGAGGGAGGCTGATCCCGCCCGGCCCTTAATGGGTCCGCCCCTGGTGCACACATAGCAAAGCCTAACAATTAAATATGATCTAGAAGATTTGTCATGATTTATGCGGACAATCACCATCCTACTGGAATATTTATATTTATATTTAAACAATGGAATATGTATTTAATATTCTTTTCCTTATTTACAATGTAATTATTGAGTTCAGAGAATACTCATCTCTGGTTAGATTTTGTATTATATATACGCCTTCTATATATATATGGACAAATCTTTCAAACACATCAAATTTCTTAAAGTATATGAGTTGTAGACAGTACAATGAAATTATCATTTGCAATAGTTCCAATGCTAGTTTTGTTGGCCTACATGGATCAATTTGTAATTAGGGTTGATGCTGGGGCAAATGGTTGACTTCCATTGATTGTTAATCCTCAGGCGATTGGATTAATGAAGGGTAGCGGTGTCCTATCTTTGTTTATCGTACTTAATTTCTCCTTGTCGAGTCCCTTATTTTTTTATTTTTTATTTTTTTTTGTGGTGCGTGTCTGTGCATGCTTAGTGTTATTATTCTCAATATATGTTGTTTAAAACATTCCAGTGACGAAGTGCCTTTTTTTTCCCCAAATTTTTGAGCTAATAATAGTTGTAATGTTGTGAATTTACAGCGTGTGTAACTGTGCCAAATGTTTACGGATATATAAGCACTTCTTGACTTATTTCAATGATGAGTATGTCCTTATTGTCGAAATAAGAAGGCAAATGAGCAGCCTATAAGCGAAGTGTCTATGTAATCCTTATAAGAAGAATGAAATTTCGAAGTTTTTCTCATTGTTTTTGCTTTATTCTATATTTTTCAAAATTTTAGTCCCAATATATATATATATATATATATATATACATGTGATGTTCATTTTGATCTTATAATTCACTTATTCTTATTGAGTATTCATGAACACTTCAACTTGGTACATAGCCACTCTTGAATTTTGATTTGTGGTAAACAGACAACTAGTTAAGACCATATTGAATCTATAATTTTGATGTCTTTTAGAATATTTTGTTGAGTAGCAACATTTTCCAATCTGTACTTCAAGAACTTGAACAATAACTAATGATTTTGGTTGAAGGCAGTGGCATAGCTACCGCTCCACTACATATGAAATTTTCTTTAAATTTGCATAGAATTATTTTTTTAGCCCTTGTTTGAGCCCCATTTTTCCTATCAAAATATATTATTCAACAATGATTTGATCCCATTTCAACCACACATTCTTTTATAAAATAAGATCACACGCAAATTCATGATTTTTCTTTGCTTTTTAACCATACATTTCCATCAATGCGTTATTCAAAAATGCATTTTTTGACAAACATGTGGCTCAAACGAGGGCTTAATATATAAAAATTACTTGTATATTTTGTCCCTCAAAATCTATCGCGAAAAACATTGAAATTTGGCTCCGCCATTGGTTGCAGGGGCATAGGAACAATGAGGAAGAAAGGGATAAGAGATGAGAAAAATAAGAAAGATCGTGTTTTCGTACTGAATGAGTTACCAACATCATACACACATGATGTCTTATGGTCTAACAAAGAATCAAACTTACTTATACGATCTTGCTATTTTATTTTTCTTTGAGAAAAGTGCTCAACCTATTAAAAATATTAGGATATTTTGTAGAATGCAAATGATTTTGTTTTAATTTTAATTAAATTATGTCATAAAACAATATTTATTTACAGAAAAGCAATTTAAAAATAATAAAATTGAAATTTTATTTAATCTTCCCAATGAAATGCTCTTCACATTATCTTCTAGTACAATGAAGTTTATATTTTCTGGTAATTCCTCTTATGAACCGAAGAAATTATGATTATCGTAATATCATTGTTTTCTATATTATCAAACTTATGAAATCACAATAATTAAAACTTTGTACCTTTCCAGTTAAATAATAAGCGCTAAAATAAAGATTATACTACGTATTACATACTTTATTTTTACTAGGTCCCTATTTGGTTCCATTTTTAAAAACTCATTTTTCTCCAAAGTTATTTTCAATCATAAATTTCATAGGATTCATAACTTTTATCAACTTTTATCAAAATTTGCTAATTATTTTATTTAAAAAAAAAAATCAGGGGCAGATAAAAGGCCAATAGCCTAATGTCCGCTTCTACGGCATAAGCTTTATAACTTCTTTTTTGAAACGAGTAATTTATAACTTTTACTTTGTAGGTGAAACTAGTACTCCAACAACCAAAAGTCAACTATAGAAAGTTGGAAGCTAATTTGTGTGCCATTTAATCAAGAGTTTGTAACTTTGTAGACCCCAAAAAGTAATGCACTTCATCTACCAAAAACTCTTTAAAGCGTGCACATATCAAAAATTAAATTGATTGCAATACTAAGAAATGCATTGAGATAATGATACACAAACGTTTATAGGTTCACTCTTATTATGAGAAATACGTCCATTTTGTCATGGATCAATCCTTAGAACTATATTATCGAGAGCAATAATAATGCAAAATAAAGAAAATCAAAAGCAGGTAAGAACCCAGAATTTAGAGTGATTTACTCTCTCGTATCCACTTGAATAATCTTCATGTCATTGCAGCATCTCATTATAGGGAAGTTGATGAGGATACAATGTTTTAGTCTTGACTCATGCATGCCTATCTTTGTATTCTTTATACTACGAAAATGCTCATCCTAATACTCTTTCTATATGAGGAAAAAATAGTAGTGGCCGAATAGATTATATATGAATTCACAATAACACAAAATTTCCAAAGACAGTAAAAGTCGAAAGAAAAAGTATACAGTATGTATGATCGGGTTTTATACATCCAACACACTTTGCCACTACATGATCTGATGCCTCAAACAATAAATAAATAAATAACCAACCTTCTAAAATTCTTTATGAGAATTATTGATACGAAGGAACCAATATAGAATAATTAAGCCTAGCAGTACACAATACAACACTCTCTTTGTGTGTCTCTGTATATGTCTCAATACTTTGAGCTCGGGCCCCACTATGAAATAAAAGCCGTAAAAAAGACAGCTTTGATTCTAGCCGAAAATAGTACAGCACAACTGTGAATTTGCTCCCAATCTATGGTATGGAATTCATACTTGAATAATTTTATGTGACTATCTTTTTCATAGTTTTTGAAGTTTTTTGTGATTCAAATCTGTAGATGGATGCATTTATAATTCAATAGAAAGAAATCAACTTCTTACCTTGAAAATATTCTATTATGAGTAGATTTCCTATGTTGAATTGGATACAAGTCTTTTTTTATTGGGGGGACATTGCTCGACTGTAGCTAGCAATG